CAATGACTTGAATGTACCCCCACAGATTTCACTTTTTTTTAACAAGATTTTAAGTCTGAGAACAGCCTTAAATTTTACCAAAGAACAATTATGTTCCCCCCCACCCAATAGAGCACCTGAAGAAAGAAACCCAGGAAATGTGGCCAGTAGTCAGGATCCTGTCTTTTCTGGATTATATTCTTATCACGTTCCTACAAACACATGGAAATTGTTGTGGGATGACTCAGCTCCTGGTGGACCCCGCATAAAATCTCGAGTTGGGCACTCAATGCTTTTTCATCCTGTGAGTACTGATAAATTCTTTTAGCTCTTTTATTGTTTGTATACTTTCTTATTTCATTAACTAGTTACTGTCAACATTTTATTATGTCTTTTAGGTGTGCCGCAGGCTTTTTATTTTTGCTGGGCAACGGGGAAAAGAATACTTGAATGATTTTTATACTTTGGATGTTGATACTCAGATAGTACAAGCTGTTTGTGACTGGGGTGTATCAGGTGCAGGTGATGGACCAGCATCTGGATTTACTCAACGAGCAACAATTGACCCCGACCTAAATGAAATATATGTTCTCTCTGTAAGTGTCTTTTTGGGGAAAATTTCACCATGTAATATTGGCAGACTTGACTTTTTAAAGTGCAGTATTCAATACTGAAGAACATTCATTTACTGCAATTAATGTTCTGTTTGTCATTTTTTAGGGACTGAGCAAAGACAAGGAGAAAAGAGAGGAAAGTGTTCAAAATTCATTTTGGGTTTACTATATCAAGAAAAATCAGTGGTTTGTATTTTCATTTGCATTGACATAATTTTGAAAGTACTGTAAGACTTTGATTTCTTATTTTATTTTTACATTTTGTTTTAGGTCTTGCATATACCGAAATGAAAATACTGGAGAACAATACTGGCACATAGAGCCTTGTCCCCGGTTTGCTCATCAACTTGTGTATGACCGCTCTAACAAGGTATTATTTCTGATTTGCTTGTTTCTATTAGTTGTTGTTTTTTTCTAACTTTTTTTTAAATTTTTGTTTTTTTTGTGATCATTAAGGTTCACTATTTATTTGGTGGAAATCCAGGACGAACTGGTTTACCTAAGCTTCGTCTGGATGATTTTTGGAGATTAAGACTTTGTCATCCAACACCCCAACAGTTGGATCATACCATTAAATTAATGATTCGAAAATATCGGTAATGTTATCCATTAATTAGTAATTAGTTTCAAGTACTGTCATCATGGACCATTGTGATTATTTTACATGCCACAATACCTTCATGCCTGTAGATTTGTCGAACTAGCATCTAAGGACCGTTTTGCTGCTCTGGAATACTTACAAACTGATCTCTCAGACATCATAGATCATAGTAACAAAGACCAGACTAAAGAAGTTAGTATAATAATCTCTCTACCTACCCTAAATCAATAGCAAGCACTATCGCACTTTCTAAAATGTATTTTTTTCATCTCTTTTTTAGTTTCAACAGCTTGCTGCCGTTCTCTTCCAAGGTTCTGATGGCAGTGGAGAAACAGATTCTGACACAGCTGATAGTGAACAATATCGCCAGAGATCAAATCTTTTTCATAAATTAGGAACTTTTTTTCCTGCGGGTATGACTCAGCCTCATAGTAGCCTTATTGACCTAATTCCATTGTAGATTGAAATTGAACTACTATACTTTTCATTGAGTCAGCATGCCCCATGGTCTCTGCTGAAAAAGTAAGTTGTAAGTTTATTAGACTTTTTGTATGCAGAATACAGAGATTTTTATGAAATTTTCTTGTATTGTATTTGGTAGCTATAAGTTATTACTAACATCCATGTTACCCTAAGTTATGCTGTCAAAGAAAAATATCCTAGGTTATATTTAGAATTTCCAATCTAAATGTGAATAATTTGTCATAAAATTATAAATTATTATTTTATGAAGAGTATATTTTTTAAATCATGTATATGAAATATCAAAGGAGTACTCAAATTATTATCTGTAGGCCAACACTCTTTGAGAAATGGTGATTGTGATCATACCTATCTGTTATTCTGTATGTGTGGGTGGGTGGGTCTATTTGATCTGTTAGTGTTTGAGTTAAGTGTATCTGTTTTATGTACACCCCTTTCTATTCATTAGAGAATTGACTGTAGTTAAAGAAGACTGTAAAAGTGAAAGTTAATAAGTAATGAGTACTGTTCTTTACCATTTCCATTGAGGTCAACTTTAGATTGCAGCAGTTGCAATGAAAGCTCACTTTATTGGTGTCTGGCAGCTCGAATGGCTTGGTTTGATGCTCTTATTTTAATTGTCTACCTTGGCATCTCTCTTTCTCTCTCTCTTTTTTTTTTTTTTTTTTTTTTTTCCCATTTGACTGTCCTATTTTCCCAGGGCTGTGAGCAGAATAGTCTTGAGGTACAGCTGCTGTGTTCAATGTAGAAAAAAATATGTTAGTATCTCTATATTTTGCAAACAACTACGGTAGGTCATGTTGCTTCCATTATCTAATCTAACAAAAATGCTGAAAGAGGCAGAAATTATTCAATTTACAAGGTCTTGTCGTAGCAATGACTTGAATGTACCCCCACAGATTTCACTTTTTTTTAACAAGATTTTAAGTCTGAGAACAGCCTTAAATTTTACCAAAGAACAATTATGTTACAACATCACACCCATAAAATGTAGGGAATTGGCAAAGAGCAGATTTCTAGTCCCAATGTTTTCGTTTCACTTGAAACTGACAGGTAATGTACATATTCCCAGCAAACGGTACTGTTGCTGCTCTATGGATTTTTTCAAAAACATTTTTTTCATTTCGGGACTTGCAATACTATGTACTCTTAGATAATTTTATTTTTGTCTAAATTATTGTACCTTGTACTTTAACAGATCTACCTACATTGTAAAATGTTTTCAACTTTTTGTTTGTTCTTTTACTGTGTACAATTTGCTTATCTCATCTACACACTCCAAAAACTAATCAGGTACTAAAATGAAAATTTTGTTTTGACTGTAAGAAAAATAAGTTAGGGTTTTGCATCTCTCTAGGTGTTGTGATTTTACTGTTTTTGAACTGTGCTGTAACATCTTGGCAAAGATACTACAGATCAGCACTCAAAAATGTGTCGATTCCTACCTCTATCTTTTCAATGGTGGTGTTAGGGTAATCAAATCTTACAATTCTTTTCATTTTATCATCTCATTTATAAATCAGAAAGTGCTGACATAACTCACACTTTTTTCATCTTTGTTTTCTGCATCTCTTGCCTGTAATAGTCTAAACATGTTTTATTCTGTTCCAATTTTATTTTTGTTAACTTCAGTTTCTGTCTTGTTTTACTTTCCCAGCACTGAATCATTTTGTTGCCTTATATTTTTGTGTTTGTAGATACTGTGTGTACTGAAGACTCATAATGTTCCCATTGTCATGCCAGGGGCAACCAGAGGCCACAAGTGATCTCTTCCACTTCTAAATAAAATTAGAGTTTATATCAAGTTGATGTACATTTGTAATGTGCTATCTGATAGATGTTCTTTGTCTATTTTATTTTCTCTCATTTTGAAACAAAAATGTTGTGATTGCAATATGATTTCACTAGTCATAAGGTGTGCTTGTATTTTATGTTAGATGTCATTTTACGTACAATTAGCTGAGACAGCAATAGCCTAAGAACAGCAGGTTTGAATCAACTAATTCTAGAGATCCCTCCCTCCCTTTCACTTTTATGTATTATTTACTGACGTATAATTTATGCTCTCCCTCAACTCTGTAATTGGATTTTACATATTGTAGGTTGAGCCAAATTTAGTTTGCCTTCTAATCCTGTCATTATTTATCAGATGAATTTGGCTAAGGACTTTAAGGAGAGAAAATTCAGTATTATGTAATTCCATTTAAGTGGATTGCTATGTAACTCTTTACTCCATTACCAAATTTAAAATTGCAAATCAACAACAGCCCAGTGTGAAATGATCAATCACAAAAAGACATCAATTTCAAATTTTGGGACACATTTTTATCATTGACATCAAACTGATGTCTTTTGGATTGATCATTTCTCACTGGGAGATGACTTAGTTTTTGTTGCCATTTATCTATCTGTATGTGTAGTGAAATCTTGCAGCTAAACAATATGAAGGGAAAATTAGTGTTTCTTTTAGTTCTTGCAGCTTTATTCTCATTCTGTTTTGCATACTTTATTTGATTTGAATATATGTATGTTCCCTTCCTTACAGTTGACTGAGAGAAAGTTAGTGGCATCACTTGTTTTATTTTCTATTCTATATTTTTTTTCCTTTCGTCATCATTTTGTGATAAAACTTTTTATTTTCATTTTCTGTTAAGCCTTTAGTTTTCTCTATCACAGCCGCTAAATGAAATAAAGTTGGTTTTGCTTCTGAAAATCCCCTTTTATTGAATGTAACTTAAAATCCCAAATTTTAGAGTGGTGAAAAATAATTAAACAAAATGAAAGTAAGTTTTCACAGCATAACTAGTGCAGAAGGTCTTTTTGTGTGAGTTTCATTTTCTTGTGCTGTATAACCATATCGGCAGCAGTGATGAGGGAGCCACCTTCAGTCAACCACAAGTAGAGACTGGATCCAACCTCTCTGCCCATATGATAAATCATCTTCTCTGTTTCATCCAGTTTTTTTGATTCAGGTACTTCGATTGTAGAGTGTTGCGCCCAGTCTAATATCTGCCGGAATCGTTGTTTAAATGACTGAAAAAAGTCAAAGGCAAAGTTAAAACATGTTATGACAAGTGAGTGAATGAAAGAAATGAGACCTATCCAGTTTGCTTAATTCTCACTGACCTCAACAAGAACACTAGAAATTTCTGATGATTCTCTGTGTTTTAACATGCATAGACACATTCCAAATTCATAGAAATATTGCGCTAATTTGTGTAGATCAACAACACAAGGGTCGGCTTTCATGATATCTCTGCAGGAAAAGATTCTGTTATAAAAACAACAAGAAGTGATCATGCAAAGAGTAACAAAAGATTAACAAGAACAATAACCTGTATGCTTCTTTGAAAATTTTTGGTAAACCGACTTCAGCTATTGAAGGCCTTTGTGAGTTCAATACACTGGCCATCCAAAGTGGTAACTCGATACTCGTTCCGATTTCAATGTCTCTTTTATCCGAACCAGGATCCAAAAAGCCTGGAGCATAATTATTAAGATTATGTTATTTTAGTTTTACTCCAGTTTGTCTTGAAAGAGTACAAAGTAAACAAAAACTTAACCTTACCTAAGTGTTTCACTTGCATTTCAAATTTACAAGGGACTTTTTCCTGTGTTGCCAGGATATCCTGGATTGAAAAGTAGTTAGGGACGTAACTCTGACACAAAGACATTGTTATGGAATTATGTAAACGCGAAGAAACATGAAATGACGGTGAACCTCTGCTATCTCAGCTGTTTCTGTTTGAACGAAAACAGACGACAAACGACTGTTGTTACCGGTCTCCTGCCGGTTGCCTGTTGCCGCCGGTGCCGCCGCTGGTGAAAAAAGGCGGGCTGCGTTGTCAAAAAAGAAAGAAAAGAAGAACAGTTTCCTAAATCTTTATGCCTTTATCAACAAAAGTTTCTGCGGGTTTCGAAAGCAGTTGGCGTTTAATGCGTTTAAAATTGTTGACGACACAATAGGCAAAGTTCAGCCGGTGCCGGTAGATAGCACCACCACCTACCTCGACCATCACTCGCGCCGGACTTCCCTGTTTCAAATGAGACCAATCTGGGGCCGGCAATCATAAAAATATTTCTGTGACTGTAAAGGGCTATTTCTTTATGCGTCCTGTATCATCCACTCGCGTGCGAACCGACGAACCGACGTCACGCGCCTGAGGGATGGATTGCGGGCTTGTGAGGTCAGGGCGAGGTGGGTGTGGTCATCCAAAGGGTCCTCGAGCTACCAGAGAAGCACGGAAAATAAGGGCGCGGGGGGAGGGGGGGGTGTAAAAATACAAAAATAAAACAGGGAGTCATAATAACTGTATAGAATCGCATTAACCGTGGATTAAGCTCGTACCCCAGGGTCCGCACGACACACAGTAACGCGCACGTACAGTAGGCCGCAGAGAGGCAGCTCTCTTATGGCGTGCACGCGCCGTTCGCTGCAAATTTTTCATCCGTAATTAATTAAATGAGCGCACGGCAGGCGGGGCCAACAACGAGGAGCTGACAAAGTGGCGGCTACAACGCACGACGCCACGCCCCTACGCACCGCAGCACCTCCCGGCCGAGGGCCCCTTCGCGCCACGCCCACCCGGAGGTGCCCGGAGCAGGGAGGCACCTCGGCGGGAGCAGCGACGATTCCTGGCCGTGGGTCACGGTAACGAAAAGCAATACCCACCGTCTTGCGCCCCCAGTGCGTTCCAGGGAGAAAAGAAAGGAGAGAGAGGATCTCTCACTCTCACTCACCCCCAACACGACCAACGGCTGGCCCCCACCCTGACTACACGACGGCGTTGCGTGCGTGTTGGGGCACTGAAACCCTTTTAAGCAAAGGACGTGGACGATATCCTCGGCCCTCCACCAATCAATCGGCCAGTCCCACCAGCCGGGAGCGCCACCTCGCCACCTCACGACTTCCGGAAACGGCACATGCCTCTCACACTCTCTCCATCGCTTTGTCACAACTCTGGCGGCCACGCGGCTGGATGGTGCGAAATATGTCTTCCAGACATGTCCTCGGTCCCCTTCTCACCTGCATAGAGGAGGGGTGGCGGTGGGGGATGTCATATCGCCCGGAGCAGAACTTTCGGACGAGGCCCTTATCCGACCGAATCTGTCCCCTTTTTTATTATTTCCGCCCACAAACGCAACCCCGTTGGGCCTCACCCCGCCACCACCGCACCCCACCCCGCCCGCCACGTCCTGCCCCCGCCCCCGTCTGCCCCTCATACCCCACCTCCGTGACTATTATTGATTTGGAACGCACGCGTTTAACGAGGGGCGTCACTCAGGGGGATTGCCCTGTTAGCGCGACAGCGTTCAACGACATGCCAGCCCGGGTAAGGCCCGGGGGCTCGCGACAGTAGGAGTGTCTGTCCCCGCGGGGTCCTGCGAGAGGAGACGGACGGGGATGCGGACGCGCGCCCGTAGGATAGGCACCCCAACGTGCTCCGGGGCAGCAGATGGGCAGGTTGCCTACCAGCCAGGCGCTCAGCGGGCTGGGGGCAGAGGACTCGACGACACACGTACCGGGTGATTCAGATGATGAGATGCAGGTGCGGGCGGGTTTGCCTACCCAAGGGGCTATGACGCCCGTAGGCAGAGCGCGTAGGCAAACCCGCCTAGCTGCGTCTTTTCGGAATCACCCGGTACACGCAGGGCCAGCGGATCATACTATGGGATGAACGCGATGAAAGAGAAAGGCAAACCAGAGAGCGAAAGCACACCAACACTCATCTCACCGTAAATAAGACAAGGTACACTCGCCGTATTATTTTTCTTTCCACGAAAAAAAAGGTATTCTCATGTATATTTTCTTGCACGCGTTATTATTATTGTTTTTGCTGTCGCTCGTGTGGCCCGAGCCGCTTGGCAGCCGATTAGGGCTGCGCTACGCTGCGCCCAGAGTGGCGCTGCACTGCAACCCACCCCCTCTCAATCACGCAACGCAGTCATCAGCCCATCGGGGGGAAAGGGGGGGGGGCGTCTACTCTGTAAATCTGGGGGTGTCCAGCAGCTGTGCGACTTCAGTTACTGCATGACCAGTGATTTGCAGCTGCTGGACACCGTCGTGTTGACGAATCACATACATGTACTGACGGGAAAGAGCTATAGTTTACCAAGCGACACGGGTAGGTGTCTTCGTCCACCAACCGGACACCGAACCTTGATGGGGTGGGGACTGGGGACTGGTGACTGGTGCACTGCCCTGAGCATAGAAAACTGAACCTGTACAGGACAGGGGTCTCGCCACAACGTGTCCGTCCAGCAGATTCTGGTTATGGTTCGTATACAGGTTCTAGGGTCGTGCAACGTAAGTCGGACAGAGAGTTCTCTCCCTGTCCTTTTTACCCACAACCAACACCGCACTTCGTCCTAAGTGTCATGTCCGAGACGCCACGTCTATGTGGCTACAGACAAATGCTCCCTCCCCCTCCCGACGAGAAATCACCCCCTTCCCATGTGTCATCACAACTTGGGAACTCCAATGCCGGCGTCGTGAATCGCAAAGGAGATCTTGGATGCAGATAGCAGAAAACACCTCTTTCTTTTCTTTTCTATTTTGTTTTCGTTCGTTGGCGTCGCCGCCGGGAAATAACGGCAATTATTGTAGCCGAATGCAGTTGACGTGAATGGAATGTAGCGACGGGCCGGGGCGCGGGGCCGGCTGACGCGGTGTGTTGTCATCTTGTCAGCCGGTGGTGAACTACTCGCCCGTCACCGTGCCCGCCCGCCCGCCGCCGCCGCGCCCCCCGTGGCTTACGTAGTACGCTTCGTGGACTTCCCCCTGCTCCTGCTGCCGACGCGACCACCTCGTCCTCCTGTAGGGTGATTCCGCACAGCGCTTTCGTACCTCTGTCCTTGTCGCACTCATGGGTGACTGGGAGGGAGAGGAGAAGACTAGCCACTGCCACTGTGCGGAATCACCCTGCTGCCCCGCCTACTCCTTCGCCTCCTTCCGCCGCGCCGCATCGACGTCGCCGTCATTAAAAGCGTTTTTAAAAGGCGCGGGTGGGTGCTGCGCTGCTGTGCAATATTCGCGTGTTTGGGCGGCCGGCGGTGGATGGGGTCGCTGACCCCCACTGGCGGGGCGCGGCGGTGACACGGCACCCTGTCCACGCAACAACCAATGTTTGGCCGGCCGGCCGGCGGCACGGTCGCGCTGGAAGAGTTGTTAAGGGGGTGGGGGGAGGGGGTGGGGGAGGCTCCCCTCCGACGACGGCGGCGCGACGCGATGGTCTCTCTCGAAGCGCGGCGGCGGTGCGGCTAAAGGTGGGGCGTCTCGAGGTGTCGCCCTTTTACGCCCTCCCCGAGGTGCGCGGGGCCAAGAGAGAAGTACCCCCCGGGAAGTGGGGGGAGGCGCTCCGGGCGGCCAGGGTCGTTGACCGCGCGGGGGGAGCCGGAAGGAACGAGCCCCCTACCTCCTTCTCCTCCTCCTCCCTCACCCGCCGCCATTCCGACCAGTAGTGGTGCAACAAGAGGGAGTGCCTTCATGAGCTTTCACCCCCTCTCTCCCTCAGAGTGTCCTTTGTTAAAAACGAGCGCCACGGGGTGGCAAAGGGGTGGGCGGGGCGGGTTGGTCAAAGGCGGGTGCTCAGCGATGCTCCTTCCTTTCACACCTGGCACACCTCGCTCGCACATCGCAGTGATGGACATGGACGCCCCGCGAGTGCGACGCCTACGCCGCTGACGCGCGAGGTGGTGGCCGGGGAGAGGGTGTGGGGGAGGGGAGCAGCGGCAAAAGAATACCGTCGCAACTCGCGCAATACGCCGTCTGGGACCGGGAGCAGATGCGTGGGTGTCTGGATCTGGTCGATATTCACCGTCAATCACACACGCCCGCCTCGGGGCAGCGCCCCACCTCGCCCCGCCCCGCCCTACCGCGCTGGCGATGTCGCCCTCTGATTACCAGCAAGCCCAAGGTTGCCCGCGGGGTTCCCAAAAGGTGCCACCCTCGCCGGGGCTGGCGCTCTGATGGGGGTGAGCGGGGAAGGGCGGGAGGGGTCGAGGGCCTCTCTCTCTACCTCTCGGCCCGTCTTCCGTTCCTTTACGTCTTCTTTTTAAAAAACATCATTTTTGTTTTTTTGAAAATCCCCTCTTAGAGAATCGCCGCGTCCACCGCTCCACGCCACGCGCGTTTATACCGCCCAGTCCAACAGAGAGCGCCGGTGAGTGGGGAGAGGGGGGGGGGGGAGGCGTCACCGACAACGCGCAGTAGTTAGCTGTCTGCCTGACTGGTCGTCGACCTATGCCTTTGTACACCCATCGATGTTCTCTCTGAACTCTGTCACCGCTCCTGCCAAACGGCAGCCGCCATACAGGCCGTCACTGCCCCTACCCAACGCCGGCGCTGTAGTCCGTGGCGGCCGGGAAACTTTTCGCCCTCGAGATATGAACTTGAAAACTATACACAACAAGAGTTTTGACAGCGCCCTCCTCGAGGTGCAGTGCGCGGCGTTGCGGCGACCGCGGACCCGGACAAGGTGCGGTGACCTCCTGTGCCACGGAGGCGGCGGCGGTCGCCGCGCGGAGGGCTGCAAACGGGGCAGTTCCTGCTGGCTGTAAAGGGCCCACTTCACGGCACTAATGGTGATTTAAGAATGATCGCTCGCCGCGTCGCAGAGCAGGTTGACTTGCTCCCCTCGTCGTCGGGCTGGTAACACCCGCGGGCCTCAATCCAGCAAATTGTTGTTAGACGGGCAGGACAGACGGACGGGCGCACGGGCAGGCACATGCCTGCAGGGGTGGCGAGGCGGTTGGGCGGTGGCGTGTCGCTCGAGCCGGGCCGATAGTCGCACGAAGATCCGTGTGATCCATAACTCGGATCGGACGGACGGGAATGGCGGAAATGAAGGGCACTGCCATGCGTTTCCGGGCGTGAGAGAGAGAGAGAGAGGAGGAAAAGAGGGGAAGCGGAAGCCCAGGCCAGTAGGAGATGGAAGGGGCAAGGGGCAAGAGAGGACAACGCCAGAGGTGGCAAAAGGGGTGTGCTGTAGTTATTGAAAATAATCAAAGTTTGTGGGAAAGTAATCGAAGATTAACGCTTCCCAGCGCGATGCTCATCCGTTTGTCGTTCCATTGAAAACCGTCCAGAGAGTGCGTCTTTTTTTCTCAGATTCATTCAGCACTTGTTGGGAGCTCGGTTCAGCGCCTGCGAGACTCGGGGTAGGCCACGCCGCATCACACGCATGCACTGCAGACAAGATGTTGCCTACCCAGCAGGCGCTACGAGAGCTTGAGCCGAGGCGTGGAACCCCCACGCGCGGCAAGTTTTGTCGCCCTACGGGACTGTACTCCTTTTCCCCCTGGCCGTGGTAAGCTAGAGGACCCCAAAATCAAAGCACCAACCCTAACACCAACATTTCATCAACACTCAACCATTTACTTTTTCACCCGTTATCTAATATAAGCAAATACTGTAAGGCCTACGGGCAACAGCATACCTATGTAAAACCCAAATGTAACTTAACTAGACTTCAATAAAACAATTTTAAGAACTGAACTGAGGAGGCGGTTTGTGTCACGGCGAATGGCGGACGTACTGTACTTTCTGGACTGTGACGACCCCTTGGTGGGCGGCGCGTTTGACGGTGGTGTCGCATGTGAGCTTCCGAGCCGCGTGGCCCGCCTGAACACGACATGCATCCCCCAGCGGTTCAGGCGGAAGCACACCTCTCCAAGCGCCCCCTGGGTGCGCGCTTGGTGTCACGAACTGACAAACGTAAAAGAGGTGGTGGTGTTGGTGGTGGTGGTGGAGGGGACGGGTGGAGTGGTTGGAGTGGTGCTCCACAGGTGGGCATACCGTATGACGCCGCGCAGGTACCCGCGCTCCCGGTTATACTCGCCAACGAGAAAACTCCAAACGGTAATAGCCACAGGGGAGATATTGCTGAATGTGTACTCCAGCGGATTGCCGCGTGTATTTAGAGTACCTCTGGATCTAGATTGCCCACCGGGGGTGACCCCCTGGATCAACATCACCACAAATTACCTCTCTCTCCTTTTCACCGTCTGGTGGATCACCCGAGTCGATTGCCCTTCATGCACGGGCCGAGTCGGACTGGGCGGCGCCTATGCGGCGCCAGCGCCGTGCTATTGCCGTGATTGTGTTGATACTGGCGGAGGGAGGGTGGTCTGTGGGTTCGTTAGCCGCCGACAGCTTTATACGTTGGTTCCACGGCGCGAGTTATTTACACTGGGTCGGGCGGTGGGTTGCGTTTGCCTTTCGGTTATTCTTCGCCGGACGGAGGGGCGGCGAGAGGGCGAGAGGGCGGGGACAACGCTATCGGCAGAACGTCGGCCAGCCCGGCGCGTGCTCGAAGCAGTCGGCCCTGCAGATCGGCAAGGTGCAGGGCTTGGGGACCTCCCAGTGCTTGCACTTGGCGCCACCGCACGGGTAGGCGCGGGGCGCGCGGCGCCGGGGGCAGCGCTCGTCCGGCTTGCACTTGTGCTCGAACGTGCCCGTCCAGTTGTACCTGCAGCAAGAGGAGGAGGAGGAGGTCGAGTTTGGTATACAGAGGCGAGTTCGGCGGCACCTCGACTCTAAATCGGTCGGTGTTGTTCGGCGGGCCGAGATATATGGACTCACGGTGGAGCGGGCGGCATCGGTAGGGGCTCGAGCGGCGGCAGCGGAGGCTTGCGCTTCTGGAGGTCCGCCTTGGCGTGCAGGAACTGCGGGAAGATCCCGCACGGTTAGGACCGAATCTATACTTTACCCGAGTCCATTAAGCGCCGTACACCTCTCAAACAACGTGCTATTATTTACTGAAGTAAATTTACCCGCAGAATGTAGCTTGTCCACAATGCAAATTGCATTGTTACAGACGATGATGATGCTACCGACCCACGACCCTCGCCCTTGCGGCACCCTGCGGCACCCCTACGGCACCCCTACGGCACCCCTACCGCACCCTTCCGGCACCCTGTGGCCCCCGCCTACCTGCAGCCTCTCGGCCTCCTTCTCGCCCGGGCAGCAGACGGGCCGCAGACTGTAGCCCTGCTCGGGGGTGCCCAGCGGCACAGGCTCCCTGCGCGCGGGCCGCACGTAGCCGCAGCGGTCGCTGCACGCGCTACGGCGGCACGCCCGCTGCAGCCCGTCGCGCTTCAGGCACCGGCACTCCGAGTAGAAGACGCCGGCGCGCAGCTCGGACGACTTGCAGGCCTTGACCGGGGCGCCGGCGCCCGCCTGGTACGGCACCACCTTATCGCCGTGCACATTAAAAGGACCCGACCGTCAGCGGGGAGGTCGCGGGGGGCGCGTGTGTTTGAGGAGAACCCCTCTGCTGGTCACTCACCGCCGTCTCTCGACACCCGCTGGTCACTCGCGACAGCCCCGTGTCGCCTCCGCACCGCTTGGGCTGGACGCAGCACGCCTCGCACTCCTTCTTCTTTCTGGTACAAAAGTCATTTACATTGCACGACTGACGTTCTTACGCAAAACCACCCCGAACCCAGCTCTACAGAAAAGTTTCTACTTGTGCTCGTCCTCGTGCGCGCACTTACCTGGCGTCTTCGCTGAGGATACCCACGATCTCATTCATGGTCTGGATCAGGACCTTCCGCTCCAGTGGACACGGGCAGTCTGACATTTTGCAGTGGTTATGTTCGATTTTTTTGGGTACGATTTATTTTAGTTTTACTATTTTTTTGAGTATTTTATTGTTTTATGTTGACTAGAGTTGTTCAGCAGTCACCGCCCCCCGCCCCCGCCGTCGTTGCCTGCATCCCCAACAATTACCACCCAACATCACTATTATTGACGCAAAAGCTGGCAATTTAATTGAAAGAACTATTTAAACTTTTCCAGAAGAAAACTTGTAAGAAAATGAAATCTTTCAGGAAACCCCCAGAAATTTAAAAAGAATTTTGAAAAATTACCTAAATTGCTTTTGGGGAAATTAAAATTCCTAGCTATTCTCGCGCCGAGCCGTGGCCCCCGACCGGCCGGTCCCGGCGCGGGCTAATGTCAGTGTCTTAAGGTGTCGCATCGCGCCGCGGGGAGAAAGTTCATCGTTAGTGATCCTCGAAATTCGGACACGTCCAGCGATGGAAGAGGAAGGGTAAAAGGTCTCGGGCGTCGTCCGGGGGGAGGGGGGGGGGCGCCGCGACAAGCTCCTCTGCCAAAGTATAAACGAAATAATAAAAAGGAAATGTGGTAGATGAACCCGTGACCTGGAATTCCAGGCGGATGGTGCCGTGTGCGTGCTCGTGACATTAAGTCCTTAATTATAGCGGTGGGGCCCTCCGGGGGCGCCCGGGGCCCTGCAGCCCGGGCACACGAAAGGGACGGAAGGGAAGTGCGTCCCTACGCTACATTCGCAGTGTTCGCAACTCACGCCAACGCTCACGGAGGTCGCAGCTTTGTAGGAACAAGCCGTTGACCGAGTTGACCAGACGAATATTATGGTCGCTTACTGACATGCACTTTGGAAAATTAACATCAACAAAGACGCGACTGATTTTCGTTTTGCCGTGTGCTTCCCCCTAAACGCAAACGGGCCAGCGGGAACAGTAGGGGGCGCGTGCAACAGGGCGATCTACGGCGGCCCCGCGCCGCCCCGCCCCACCACAGGCGCAGCTCAGCGGGTCAGAGAGGAGGGCGTGGCCCCGCCCTGTTCACGCAGCGCCGCGCAGGGCATCCGGAGGAAAAGGATTCCGGAGGACGCGCACCTCGCGGCGCCGCCCCGTGGCTGGCTGCGCCGGCGCCGTGCGGGTCAGGGGTCAGGGGTCAGCTGGGTGCTCGGGGCAGAGAGGCAATCATCATCAAGCGCCGACTCCAGATATACGGAGAGAAGACGGGGAAATAAACTATGTGCGAGTGTGTACGAAGCCGCTTTTTAATCTGGTCTTACTGCACCGCATGCAGGCGTGTGTATGTGGCATGCCTACCGTCTCCCTCACCATGCGGCGCCTTGCGTTCCGAAATTTCTCAGTTGAGACATTGCAAGCTCTCGTAGCGCCTGCTCGGTAGGCAACATCTTGCTCACAGTGCATGCGTGTAACGCGGGGTGGCCTACCCCAAGTCTCGCAGGCGCCGAGCTCCCGTAATTTGCCGAATAAAGTGGTCGAATGTCAGTAGGGCGTATTTTCAGGCCTCGATCGTACCATATCACCCCCACCCCCTTAATATCAACAATAAACCGCTCAATAGAGAGGCAACTTGCGCGGTCATGACCCCCTCGCCCAAATTACTTTCTTGTGTTAAGTGCTTCTTTCTCACGACTGCCAAACGCACGGCGCACGCGCTTTTTTAATTGCTATGGAGACATTGAGATTAACGTTAGTAGATAAGTTTGCGGACGTCCGACCTCTCTGACCCCTGCATGTCCCCCGCACCCCACAGGAGGGCCATGAAAGGGTCGCCGTCGGTCACCGAGCAGTGAAAGCGCGTACTGTAAGCCGCACCGACTGGGCAGGTCAAGGTGCCAGGCCTCATTGGCCCCGGAGAGCGCTTGTCCCCGTGGAGAGCGCTCATTGCGGGACCGTGTGTCCGAGCCATATGGGCATGAGCCGATGGGCCACGAGGGGCGGAAGGGGCTAAGCGGGACACGAGAGCCCCCTCGGGGGCCCGTGGGCCACGGCCGGGGAAGCGCTTCTGAACTAATTACCAGCGGACACACTGAAAAAGGTATATTAGGCAGTTGCATTAGTGTGCGAGGGCAGGGGAGTAGAATTTTAAACAGGCATAATTTAAAATTAGTAGAAAAATTCGCAAATTTACGCATAATATCTCTCTGCAAGTTATAAAAAGTTGTGCATAAAATTGTGCACAACCGTGTGTTAGTTTACACTGCATTTTTCTTGTTTGTATTTTTAAAATTCCACCAAACAATTGACTGAAAAATTTTCACTCATCGCGGGAAGTTTGAAATCCAAACAGTATCGAAAAATCTTTTTTTCCAAAAAAATATGGGGAATTTCAAACTTTTTGGAAAATTTCGACTTTTGTTTACAGTGTAAAGTGTCAGTATGGTTCGGTTGCCTACCCCGCACACAGAGTGCGTGCGCTTTTGTTGTCAGAGAGAGACCGAGAGACAGAGAGAGAGAGAGACGCACCGGGCGGTGAGTGTGTGAGGGGGGAGAGTGGGTCCGCCGGGTGCCGTCGCGCCTCGCCCCGCCCGCCGGCCCGCCAGTCTTGTCCGGACCGCGGCCGCGAGCAGTGCAGCGTCGGCCAGGGCCTTGCACAGTCACGACTGGCGCTGAGTGAGGCAAGAACGAGCGGCAGGGCGTAGCAGGCGTAGCAGGCGTAGCAGGCCTGGCCAGCCGGGACGTGGCCTGGCGTGGCGTCACTCTCCCTGGAGTGGAGGCGTTGCGCGACTACACGTGGAAAAAAAAATAATCAATATTACGCCTCTTGTTTATATTTCTCAGTGTTATAATTACAAACATAATTTGCAAAAAAATTGGATTTAGCTGCAAATGATAAGCTCTCTATATTCGTGTAAAGTATCATCACTTCTATTAGTAACATTTTTGCCGTATTTTGTCTCTATAAAAACCAACGTGCGCACGGTTGCTGTTCATTTTATTTTTTACCTGAGTGGATAAAATTTGTGTTGCGCTAGGAGCTGTGAGTGGTCAAGGAGAAGCGGTGCATAGTGCTCGGGCTGCCGAGATCGCATCGCCGGACCTCAAGGTGAACACTGCCCGGAGTCTTTCCACGGATTACTTTATTCTCATAACAGGTGAGTGAATAGTTTTGTTAACTCCCCGAGTAAAAGTATTCCCCTCCATCTTCTAGTAAGGTAGACAAGAAAAGGGTATAGTTTTTGTTTCTTTTCTTCAACGGGTTGTTATAAAGTTGTAGTTTAGAGAGAGAGAAAAAAATTCCGTATAGGTTTCGGTAATGGTGTATTTACAAGACGTCCTCCTGACCTAATTCCGCGGTCGCTATACATGTCAGGCTGATGGGGCCGAGTCTATCAGCGCGGTGAATGGTCGCGCGGCCATAGAACGCCCCATAACGCCCCATACATCAACTATCCATGACCGGCGCAGTATGTGATGCTCATGGGGCCGGGACCTACAGTGATGCGGGTACACCACCACCGTGCAATAAGCCCTCCATGGAATACACTTCGTGCTTCCCCCCACGCCGCGCGCCAACTATGCGCGCCTTCCCGCCAAAGGAGTCAAGGACGCGGCGCGGTGCAAATGATCGAGGTGATCATTCGCTGGGCATGAATCCTCTCACTCTACGCCCCTCCCCAGCTCCCTCCCCCTCCCTCTCGCACCTGCCGACACTGACGAATAGCGCCGCCAGGAGTGAGGAAAGGCAGGGAAGGCCCGCGCGCACCGCGGCGGGGATGGGCTTTGTGCGGCGGCATGCGCTCTGCGAATAGAAGTGTGTGACAATCGAACACCTTAAAGTGCGAGACGAAATGTCACGCACACAGTAGTGTGTGATCAATGTGTCGTGCATTGACAAGTGTGTGACAACCATGCAATTACAGAAAGGTGTTTGACCTATACCGGGTGTTGCATAAAAGACACAGGTGCGGGCGGGTTTGCCTACCCGCTCTGCCCGTAAGGCGCCATAGCCCCTTGGGTAGGCAAACCCGCCC